CATAGAGACCCATAGGGACCCATAGAGACCCATAGGGACCCATAGGGACCCATAGGGACTATAGAGACCCATAGGGACCCATAGAGACCCATAGAGACCCATAGGGACCCCATAGAGACCATAGAGACCCATTGGAACCCCATATGGACCCATAGGGAACCCATAGGGACCCATCGAGACTCCATGGGGACGCATAGGGACCCACAGGGACTCATAGGGACCCATAGGGACACACAGGGACACATAGGGACCCCATAGGGACCCATAGAGACCCATAGGGACCCATAGGGACCCCACAGAGCAGTTCCTGCAGGAGATCTGGAGCTGGAAGGAGGAGTGAGTGACCCACAAGTACCCCATAGGTACCCCATAGGGACCCATAGGGACGCATAGGGACCGTAGGGACACATAGGGACCCACAGAGACCCATAGGGTCCCATTGGGAACACACAGGGACTCATAGCGACGCATAGTGCCCCACAGTGCCCCATAGATACCCCATAGTGCCCCATATACACCCCATGGTGCCCCATAGACACCTGTAGTGCCCCATAGACACCCCATAGCACCCCAAAGTGCCCTATAGACACCCCATGGTGCCCTATAGATACCCAGAGTACCCTATAGGCACCCTGTAGTGCCCCACAGTGCCCCACAGACACCCCATAGTGCCCCATAGACACCCCATTGTGCCCCATAGACACCCCATTGTGCCCCATGGACACCCCATAGTGCCCCACAGTGCCCCACAGGCACCCCATAGTGCCCCATAGACACCTGTAGTGCCCCATAGACACCGCATTGTTCCCCACAGTACCCCACAGACACCCCATAGTGCCCCATAGACACCTATAGTGCCCCATAGACACCCCATAGTGCCCCACAGTGCCCCATAGACACCCTATGGTTCTCAATAGATGCCCATAGTATCCCATAGGCACCACATAGTACCCCACACTGTAGCACCCTATAGAAACCCCATCACGCCCCACAGTGCCCCATAGACACCCCATAGTGCCCCATAGGTGCCCCACAACAGCTCCCCCAGCTGCCCCACATCTCCCCACAGGAAGGGCGACCGCA